AACAGAATTATAATTACCCTTCCCCCAATTATAAACCTTACCCTGCTGTACGTACCTATCCTTTTCAATGACTAATGTTTCTTATCTCTACCCCAAACTGATTGTCCATCTTGGCCTTTAGAACTAAGATCATCCTTCTTTCTATATGAGAGGTCATCCATAATTAGCAGAGCTACTCTTTCACCTTTACTTAGCTCCCTGCCCTTCTGAAATGTCATATACGCTTAAATATTCACGTCTCAGTCTTTATCATCTTGCAGCCATGTCTTTGTAATGGCTATGAGATTATACATGTTCATTTCTATTTGAGCTGTCAATTCATCTATTGTTAATGATTCTGTTCGTTTTCAAATACTTTAACCGTCTTCTTTTGCAATCTCTGGCTGTATTTGCCAACAAATTCTTAAGTTTGTACGTCTGTCCCTTCCTGCTATCCTTTGAGTATAACTTCCTGCATTGCCACCTTGCCCTATTGCCTTGTTTTCTTTTTTCTTTTTTTTATTAATCACATCTTCCTGCATTTGATCCACCTTCCATTTAATTTAAAGTCCTCTCTCCTGCCCTGTTACTATGACTCGCAGAACACTTGTCTCAGCACAGTTCAGATGAGGACTGTCCCAATGGTAAGGTTCCTACTTTACCAAATACTGACCCAGTCAGTCCTCCAAGAATCAAAACCCATTTCCCCACACCAATCTTTGGAGCATGCATTTAGCTCTGTAATCTTATTCACCATTGTCAATTTACTTGTGTCAGGTAGTAATTCAGAGATTACTACCTTTGGGATTCTGCTTTTTTAATTTGGTTCCTGGCTGCCTTTATTCCCTAAACAGAAGCTGTTTTATACTCATATCTAATACCTACATGGAACACGACCACAGCAAGTTCCTCTCCAGCTCGGAGCAGATGTCTTAAACCCTGGTAACAGACAGGCAACATAGCATCTGGATTTTTGGACTCGGCTGCAGAAAACTGTCTCTACTGCTTATACCACTATATTCCTAATTACTATCCCTGTTTTAATCGACTCCTGCACAAAGGTCAGTTTTCTCATCCACCCGGCAGTCCTGACTTTAGCCCATACTAATTGCAAGCTCACTGAACCTGTTGGACAGTTGCAAAGGCTGAGCCTCCTTTACTTCTAATGTTCTTAATCCTATGCCTTCCTGACCAGTGACCAGTTCAGAAGACTGAGGGTGTAGACACTTCCTGGAACAAGGTGTCCAGATAATTTTCCCTACATCCCTGATGTGTTGCAGTGTCTGTAGCTCAGCCTCCAACTCAGTGACTGAGCCAGCACTCCTGAAGCTGCGTATATTTACTGCATCTTCCCTGGATCACACTGGCATCCAAGAGCTTCCATATTCTGCAGGCGCAACCTAGCGCCTGGCCCCTTTTTTTAGATTTATAATTAATAAAGACTACAACCCCAAGTAAATTGTATTATTGCCATTCAACCTTACTGCAATTAATAAACATTATTACTATCAAATTAGACAAGGTTTGACGGATCAAGAAGCAAATATTCCCTAGACAGTCACTTATCTGTTTTTGCTGTGATGTGGCACTTTGATTTCTGTCAGAACACCGTTGATAAACTCTGAAGGACTGAGATTGACTGGATAATTATTTTAGGTGCTGCTGTCTCTCCATGTCCTCTTCTCATCTGCTGTCTATCTCTGGGTTCATCTCACTTCTGCTCTTTACAAATGAATCCTTGACCCAGTTGAAGTGACACTTTCATCTTGAAAATGTTCAAATTATAATTGCTACCTAAATTTTTAGGAACTTCAGTCTTCAACACCTAGCAGTAGTCATTCTTCAGTAAACATAGGTGTAGTTTATAGTTTGGTTCAATTGGATGCTAAAAATCTGAAGAGGAGGATGGCGTTTTCCCTAACGTCACAATCATTATTCCTGCTTCAATCCATACTACTAACAAAACAAAAATCATTGATCATTCGTTTAATCTAATGTTACAGCATCTTCCAGCAGATGAAAGGACTACCACATTTACCCATTTGGTAATTACTGCACTCCAAAACAAAGTGTGATATACTTGGTGACTTTCTTGAAAGTAGCATTAAAGCATTTCCTTTACTCTGATTTCTACTTTATTTTATATCCTATTATGGAACTGTTAGAGTTTAAATGCACTCAACTGTTGATCTGGAAAGAACTGATAATGTATTCCAAATAATGCTTTCCATTTAATTTTGGAGATTGGGCAGAGAAGGAACTATAACCTGTTTAGATATAATGGGACATTTTCTCCATACAGCTGTATAGAATGTTCTTGCTAATTGGAGAAGCACTATCTTCATAAATAACTATGAATGCATCTGTGGTGAGTAACTTAACATTCTCCACAGAACAGTTGTTTGTTTAACAGCTTTTTCAAGCTTATTTGACCTAAGCAAGGCAACCATTTGATTAAGTTCTCAGTCATTTTGCCAAACAATCTTGTTGGACTTGGCTGCAAAGCTTTGCAGAGCTTTAATTATTAACTGCCTTAGATCCTAAATCAATTGATCCTTCTTCTTTCAAGTAGATTTTTTTTAAGCAGAGCAATCTGTTAAAACAGTCACGTTGATCTCTGTTATCCCTTTTCTATCTATCGATCTGAAGTAGGCATGTTGGTCTATCTGATATGGGACATTGTAATTCCAACATGAATTGGCATAAATGATCTGAAGTTTGTAGCAATTACACTGTTCCAATTGCTATAGTGTGTTTAATTATATGCCCGTTTGGACACTTAGTTTGAATAATGGTCAACGTACCTAAATGAATATTTTTGTCTTTGTCTCTATTAGCTGTATAGTAATTTGTAAGGAAATTATTAGTGTTAAAAGTTAATGCATTTTTAATAAAGCGCTTATTCAGCATCCCACAGGTTTTTACACTGAACATATCATTTTGTATTTATATTTTAATGAATATGCTCTTCTCAGTAGAATTCAGCATGTTCAACAAGCAAGCATTTAAAAATAAAGCAGGATTTTGTGTTTTGCTGCTAACAAACATTTGCTATTGAAGTACAGACCCAGGAGACTCTGACCTACATAATCTGAACATCTGGATTGAAATTGCTGGATTAAAATGAGAATCTTGAGCCAATTGAATATTTGAAGGCACATGCCTTCCTAGATATACTTACTGTTGTGTGACACACTCAGGGATAAATTATTTTACACATAGGTGCTTACTCCAATGTTGTTAATAGATGTGTAGGCTTCCAGTTTGGATGTAGTGTTTAAATGGATCTTCTTTGTATTGTCAATTGTGATCTACTATGCTTGCTGCATCTCTAATATTTGGTATTCTAAATGTGACTCTGGAATAGTCTGAAAAGTCAAAGCAAAGAATGTTTAATTGCACATTCCTACCATATGTCTCTTTTGGTTTTTTGAAACGTGTATAATATTCAAACTATTGTTCTCTAAATATCGTGCTTTATCCACTGTGTGTAATTGTTAGCTGTAACTTCTGTTTAGAAGCAGCTGGTGGGTTTGGTATCAGGATTTCTGCTCATTATCTCTCTGTTCTGGACATTTATTATTAATACCCTTCAACTTTACTATTTGTGTCATTTCTCACGCCTGTTCTCTTTTTCCCTTTTCTCCCCTTCTTGTCCAATTCATTTTTTTGCTTCATTTTCTTCACTTTAAAGAAAGAAATGCTGTGATATTTCTTCTTCTTCCCAAACCTCCACTAGAAAACATTGGCCTCATCAAGGTAAAGGGCAAAGGCTTGAAACGGAAGGTCTTTCACGCTAGCTATGAATGGTATGCTGTGCAAAATTTAAAAAAAACCTCCTCCTGCCTGTCATTTCTAGTTCCTAAATATACTTGTAACTGTTTTTTTTTTATTTTACATGTTCTTTTAAAAGGGAACCAATCAATACATTTCTGTAGTTTTGAATAATTTCATTAAATTACATTTCCAGTCCAGATAATACTTTAATTTGGACTGCAGAGGATGTAATATATTCTCCTTGTTAATTTCAAATCAAAATTATATTTTGCTCATTTAAGTGAATGGGGATTTAATTGTATAACTGAGGTGTTCGCTTTTCATTTGAAATTTATCTCAGATACGTTCTGAGTCGTTCACTGAGATTTGCATAAACTAAATCGAACATGCCTCCAAGTAAAATCTAGTTTACAACAATAGTATTGTTATAATACATTTTCTGATTAATCCCATCAGTCCAAATTAATTTAACTTTACTAGCAGCAATTAAGCTTAATTAAACTAATGTCCTAGATTTAGTCAAGCTTCTATATCGCTTCAGATATGTTGTAATTTATGTAATAAGTGCACAGTTCAATGCCAATGTGCTAAACTGGTAGGTCTAGTTTACGAGTTTAGTTTATTTTTTACTTTTAAATTTATGTTAGGCTTTTTTGGAACGTTATTTTCTACATTGTTTTCTCTTATTGAATGTACTTCTATTTTTTATCTTCTATATTTCCATCTCCACTTCGAATGGAAAAAGTGTCTTTCTGGTTTAATCTCAATGATGTAGTGCCCAAAGCATTTCGTTTTTATTCATTAATGAATTCTGCTGATGTATGGAGCTCTGCAGAAGAAAGTCCATTTCTCCTTTTACGTTTTCACTAAACCAAGACTGGTTCACTTGACACTGTGTAGTCACTTTCTAACATGGAATTAATTTCTTGCTCTTGCACTTTTTCTGGGTGTTGGATGAGAGCTATTTGATTGCTCACATGCATAATGTGTGTTTACTACTCTTTTTTGAAGCATGCATGTCCTTGTTCCTTTCACAATGGAATTAAGTATGCGTGAGTTAAATAAATTCTCCAAACATACTTACGGCACTTCAAAAAGCATGTAAAATTCTGAAAATATTTAATATAAGCCTCAGGAAAGTTAAAAGTCCTTTATATCTCTTTACAAAGAGCAGTAGTTGACAGAAGAAATCCCAACAATAGCTTGTCGTATATAAATAATATTTTCTTCCTACTGTCTTGCAGGCTCATGCCCAGAGAGTCAGCAGGCCGAAAGTCCTGCAGCACAGGGGGCGGACGGGATCGACTTAGCCTCTCCAATGTCACCTCGTGCTAGCAAGAGTCGTATGTCTATGAAATTGCGGCGTTCATCTGGTTCAGCTAATAAATCTTAACAAACACATCATAACAAAAAGTTACACTCCTAATTCACTAGCCATGAATTAATGTCTTTTTTTTAACTTATTATTTTACTGCTTAAGCCAAATGTTTTGCCTCTTGCTAATTTAGTAACTGCGTGTTACCACTCCATGCAGTTTAAAACCTGTTCCTTGTAAACTACTTTTTATTAAGAACACTGGAGTTCTATTTTTAGCTTATCAAAATATATATTTTAGCAATCTACGCTTGGTTGTACAGTGCAACTACCCTGCACCTAATTGATTATGTATCTGTATATTTACTGCACTTCTAATCACACTTAGTGTTTTGAAAAACATTTTCTTCTTGAATTGCATTTGGCTAGTCAAGTTGAATGACCCATTTGTTATTGGGTACCATCACTAGGAATTTACAGCAGACTTGCTTGGCTGTATATTGTGTACTTTGTACAGTTTTGTTTTACAGTAGGAACATTTCGGATTACTTGTGCACAATTCAGGAATGTATAGTAAGTTTTCAGTTTTTATGTAGATGTAAAGTTGTTTCAAAATATATTCACCAAATCAATCTTATGGCACAAAACATGTACAGAATATTTTCATTTTAAATTATAAGTATGAATTTTCCAAGGAATGTAAATGGTCTCTTAGCATTTCAGCTATAAAACGTAGCCTGACAAAACAAAAATCAAGAGAAAATATATGGACTTGTTTTTATTTTAAACACTGACATATATATATTAAAAAAATATAATCTTTAAATGCTGAAAATGCTGCTGTGTTAAACTATTTACTTGTGCATGGCTTCCAACCAAGAAACTGTAGAAAAAACACTGTAGGTGAAATCTGGTAAGAGGCAAAGTTATTGCTGGAATGATGAAAATTCTGGATGTATTTAGATATGTTCTCTTACAGGGTTTGCACTCAAATATGTTTTCAATTTTCTGTGATATATTCATTAAGGAGAAAAGGGATCATTTAAGAGTGTCTGTATAACCAATTTAACTTGAATTGAGTCAAATTTAAATTGCTGAAGTGCAGCAGAATGCATATTCCAGCTGTATTTTCCTACAAGAAAACATTATTTTGTAGGTGACTTGCAATGTTACTACTAACAGTATGTAGCATGATGTCAGTACTAACTGCATGTGTAAATATCATATGATGAAATATTATATTATGTATTGTCATTCATGTAGTTGTCTATAAAAATTTGTAATGGCTGAAGATGCGCTGTTTAATATTGCAATAAAAATTATTCTTACCCTGTCTACTTGTGGAAATTTTTGTTAGCAAGTCTGAAATGGAGAATGCTATAATATGGTCTTGCAGATCTCTGAAATGTCTTATTGTATTGAGAAATGTCAAAGCACAAAGGGAAACCAATAAATATCTAACATACCATAATTCACTAATCAATTATTTGTTCCCTTCCATTTCATACATCTTGAGTATTATTGAAATATTCTTGTAAGTATCAAAGTATTGCTAATGCTTGGTTTGATGCATCTTTTTAGCATATTTTAAATGCAGCCATTCAGTATGTTTTATTCATATATACACACATTCATGACAAAGTATGAATATTGGCAAAGTTTAATATGCCTTCCCATTTTCCACTTTACCTTGTACATTCTTAAATTATTCTAGGCCAGATCATTTATTCTTAAATCTATGGAGATTATGTTTTTTGTCACCATATTGTGGGCAAATTTGCAAAGTGTCCACAATAGTCAATATTTTGCAATTTTATACTTCGGAAGAAATCTGTAAAAACAAAATGCATTTTATTTGTCCTCTGAAAATGATGTCTGTTTTCTGAAACCACTTTGTTCCTTTGCCCAGGAATTTGCTGAATTGGGTCTAAATGAATTACCAATGCACTTGTCCTGCATTCTTCAGAAGGATGATCTGGTCCTAAGCTATTAGTATTTCCAGAAACCATTGTATTCATAAATTGTTTTCACCAATTTCTGGAGGATTAAATCAATCTGTATACAATAAAGGTATGTGGGTTGTGTGTCAAGCACTCTCTGAGCCTGAGAATGCACTCACAAAGTGAAATGAAATAAAATTGATTTTCACGAGTTAATTTTGATCTTTTGATCATTAGTAGTCCTAATGCTTTTTGAGATCCACTGAAACCTCTGAAGGGTGTAAATCTATACAGAAATTCTCCTTTGGAGACATTACATTCAGTCAGCTTTTATACTACAAAACTCAACAAGTTTCACACAATCAGCAGCGTTTAACTTATAAGGGATTTCTGGGCAGTCTACCACACAAGAAAAGCTGTGGGCAGAAAATCAGTATTACCTGAAAAGTTAGTGTTATTTCTGCAGAAAATGTCAGCTCTGAACGTCCCAATAAAATCTACTATTAGGTTATAGTGCATTGATTGTGCCACCTTCACGAGCTCATAACCCCATAACTTGCCAATGTCAAACTCCATGCCCCCATTAAGACTTGAATTATTCTTGTCATCAAGATCACAAGGAGTTCAACAGTATTGCTGGTTGAATTTATATAAGAATCAATAAAATATTGGAATTAAGTTTAAAGTTTTAGAAACAAAAGAATGTGCAAGCATTTTTGTGAAGCCAATAATTTTGATCATTTGTTCAATCCTTTTGATGTATAAATATTTGCTTAAAGGAAACCTGACCCTATCTTAAAAACAAGAAGAAAATGTTTGAAATGCTCAGTAGGACTAGCAGCATGTGTGGAGAAAGAATCAAAGGACTAAGTTTTACTGCCCTCCTGGCGGGAATATTTTTGGCAGGAGGGCAAGTAAAACATCAGGTGCTCAGTCCACTATCTTTCTGCCTATCCAAAACTGTTTACCGTAATACAGAGTGGGGACTGAGTTAGCTGAACTGCCCGATTTAGTGGTAATTAAGGGAAGACTTCAATTCGCCTCCACTAAAATGATCCAGAGTACAAAGGCCATTTTTGAAACTGCTTCTTTGAAGTGGTGGGAAAGAAGGGAGTTGCTAATCAATCTTGGCACCCACTTGCCCAAGATATCACACCCGTTTGTTCCTCCCTACCTGCACTCCAAAAGCCAGTTTCTCCCCTTCCCCCACACCTACCACCACCTCCCCCACACACCCATCCCCTTCCCTTCCTTGGCTCTCCAATTACTCCCTTCCCTGAAAGCCAGGGACTTACCTGACTCAGGTTGACATGATTTTCTTCCCTGGGTTCCTTGTAGTCCCAGCAATGGCCACTGCTGCATTCTGACTGCTTCAGCTGCCAACCATCACAACTGAGCAAAGTTAGAGATAACACAGTGCGGAGTTGGAGGAACATAGCAGGCCAGGCAGCATCAGAGGAGCAGGAAAGCTGACGTTTCAGGTCAGGACCCTTCTTCAGAATTGGGTTTTGATCCTGTGAAAGGAGGATAGTGTGGAAGAACAAAAGACAAGGTCTATTATAGGATGGGAGGAAGATAAATTAAATGGTGCAAACTCAATTCAAAAGCAAGAGATTTGTAAAGCAACAAGTAAAGAAAAATGTTGAGAGAGGAGCTGTAAATGGCTGCTGTCTAATTACAAAGAAAATAAGAAAGGATTTACCAAAAAAAATGCACTAGCAAATAAAACAAAGTATAGGCAAAGCTTATGATCTGCAATTATTGAACTCTATGTTAAAATACAGAAGGCAGTAAAGTGCCCTTTGGAAAGATGAGGCCCTGTTCCTTGATCCTCTGTGAGCTTCACTGAAATAATGTAGCCTGAAAGGACAGATAAGTCCAAATGAGCTGGGAACAAGATGGAAAATTAAAATGGCAGGTAACTGAAAGGTGAATGTGACTCTTGTTCACTGCATTGAGGTATTGACCAAATGAGTCAACCAGTCAGCTTCTGGTTCTGAGGATGGGTGTCTGGATTCAAAACCTTATCTCTGTTTTCTCTCCACAGATGTTGCCAGCAATTGCTGCAGCAATTTATGTTTTTTGTTTGAGCAGACTAAATGCTGACTGAAACAATGTTGAGGAGACTACTTTATAGAATCATAGAATCCCTACATAGAAGCAGACCATTCAGCCCATCGAGTCCACACCAGCCCTCTGAACAGCATCCCACCCAGAACCACATCCCCTACCCTATCCATGTACCATTTTCCCATGGCTAACCCACCCAGCTGCACATCTCTGGACACTATGGGCAATTTAGCATTGCCAATTCATCTAACCTGCACATCTTTGGACTCTGGTAGGAAACCGGAGCACCCGAAGGAAACTCACTCAGACATGGGGAGAATGTATAAACTCCACACTGACAGTCACCTAAGGATGGAATTGTACCCAGGTGCCTGGTGCTGTGAGGCAGTAGTGCTAACCACTGAGCCTCCGTGCATCGTGAGTAGTGAGTTTAGTATACTAAATAGAAAGAAGTACAAGTAAGTCACTGTTTCAGTGGGAAGGAGTGTTTGGTACCTTGGACAATAAAAAGGGAAAAGGGCAGGTGTTGCATTTCCTGCACTCGGTTGGAAAGGTTGACAGAAAGGAAAGGAGGTGTCTTTCTATTTAGTATATCAAACTCACAACTCATGCTGTAGTATCCTCAATATTGTTTCAGTCAGCATTTATTCTGCTCAAACATCTGTGGAGAGAAAACAGATTATGTTTCGTGTCTAGTGACCTTTCTTAAGATCCAGAAATTGGTTGTGGGGTGTACCCTGCAGCTTTAAGCTGGATTTCACTAACTCAAATCCCCACATCGATGAAAGATTCAGTGATGTGTCAACAATAGGACAATCATCCCAACTTACAGAAGGTGAGCAGGTGTGGAAATCCGTAGCCTACCTGCCATTTTGAATTAATTAATTAACATGTTATTAAGCTCATTGCTGATCCAGTTGTCTACAATGTTCCAATACCTGTTGCATTTTCTGGGTTTTGTACATAAAAAAATTGGGAGTCTTTTACTCATGAAGTAGCCTGAGGATGACAGAAAAGTTTTGCTAACAAGACCATTGTTGAATGTACCACCACATTCTGCTGGGGAAAGTACTGGCTTTATTTACTTCAGTTAACATTTTTAAAAAAAAACCTTTTGTACCTTCAATGAATAATAAACACTGATTTGGAGAATAGGGTTCTGTACAACTGTAAGCCAGACCTTGGCATTACGTGTCTGCTGCAAGATGTCCCGTTTGCTGTGCCAATTCTTAGAACCCATAAGTTATGCATTCACATCAAGGTGAAGTTCATATTCCACTGGGAATGGAACTGCTAAAAATTCATACATTATTTGCAATAACTCAGACATGAGTTGAGTACATTTGGTATCTAAAGATAGGCATGAGGATGTGGCACTGATAATAAATGCAAGATTGAAAGGGAGCAAGGGGAAGGTTTAGTGTTCGGGAAGCTTCCTTCACTTCAAATATTGGCCTCCTTCCTGTTGGATAGCCACTAACTGGTCATCCAAAACTTGATTGAATGTGCAGAGACTGTCTGATGGTGTAAGCAGGCCTTTTAGTTTCTGTTCAGCTTCCCTCACTCTGAGAACCATACATCTTTATTACCCTCTATTTTTCTTCTCATGTTTGACCAGTTACCCACCAACATTTGCCTTCATAGCTGGATCCCTCTTAGTAACCGCCTTCGGTTTCCACTGAAATGCTATCCTTTTTGTTTTGAATCCACCACAATTATCAATCTCTCTTATACTTCCAATATTGCTCAAACATCGCATTCTGGAATCTTCACTCCATTCTATGCGTGCACCACTATCTTTATCTCTCTCAAGCAGCACCAACTCACTATCTCCAATCTGTCCTGGTCTGCAGTTTAATTTTCTCCTTTGCCTCAATCTGCATTTAAACAAAACAAAACTGCTTACCCTGCTTTTAGGGGGAAGGGTCACAAGCTTCAACAATGTGGATGCCAGTACCCTTCCAGATCATTCTGATGTGTCCCTCCCCAACAATTCCACTCTTTCTTTGAATCTTTAGCTTTGTTTTCACAATTCTCTCTGGTATTCTACTCACTGACCCTGAATAATTGTCCTTGGCAAGGCTTCAGATTCAACACCTTAGCCCCTAACTCAACAAATGTTCAGCTCAGGGTTGAAATTTTCTTCCATCACCTTTGCTTCCATGCCCTCTTCTTTAGACAGAAATCCTCTCCCCAACCAGTAACCTTTCCCCTTCACCCATTACTGGTATTCTTCTTTCACTTTTCTTTTTGTCCACTTACCCCCTTGAATTTTTCATTGTGAACTGCAAGCACGATATCAGCTGTCTCAATTTCTCTATTCCCCTCAACTGTGCAAACCCATTTGTCCCTGGCTTGCTGCATTCCGTTCTGGCAGGTTCATTGCTAACATTATCATCAAACCTTACAACAAGGGTGATGCTTCTATTATCTGGCAAATTACCTCCATCTAGCAAAAGACGATTGCCAATTCTCCGATGTCTCCTTAACTCTCTCTGCACCAAGAACAACACCAATCATCTAGCCATTGTTTCTAAGAATGTCCTAATCTCCTGTTGAGATCTTCCCTCCACATCCAGTCTGGGAAGAGTGTTTCTGTAGTCAGTTTCACTATGAAGCAGTCTGTGAAGTGTAATCCTGTAGTTAGCATCTCAGTAAAGCAGTCTGTGAAAAGAATTCCTATAGTCACCATCACAGTGAAGCAGTCTGGGAAGTGTGTTTCCGTTGTCACCATCACAGTGAAGCAGTCTGGGAAGTGTGTTTCTGTTGTCACCATCACAGTGAAGCAGTCTGGGAAGTGTGCTTCTATTGTCAACATCACAGTGAAGAAGTATGAGAAGACGGTTCTATAGTCAGCACCACATGGATGCAGTTGTTAAAGACCTTGCTGAGTTTTCATTATTTTTAGTTATCTCTCTTATCAATTTTGGTTTGGAGCTCTGAGCTGGGAATGTGAGCTAAAGATTACTTTTGGACAGTGGGTAACAGCTTGTGTTAAATGGAGAATGGACCAACCAAGCTTTTGTTTATTCATGAGGCCAGACTTGGAAGTTACAGACTTGGAAGTTATTTGCAGATTTGTTCCTGATCAAAGTTATGTAGATGCATTGTCATTGGGGAAGACAATTATGTCAAAGCAGACAGCA